AGAGAGAGAGAGAGAGAGAGAGAGAGAGAGAGAGAGAGAGAGAGAGAGAGAGAGAGAGAGAGAGAGAGAGAGAGAGAGAGAGAGAGAGAGAGAGAGAGAGAGAGAGAGAGAGAGAGAGAGAGAGAGATGATCAGCCCATACCTGCTACACAAATAGTAAAAGTATCTCCAAATTCTTGCTTCATGAATTTCACCAGATCAGTCCCATAGCTAAACCCATCAGGCTTAGGCATCCAGTTATCAGGAAGATCTTTCATAAAAATATCAAAATGAAACAGCTAGACCATTAAAAAATCATACTTACCTCCACGTAGTGCTAGTATATTTTTGATCCCGAGGTTCTTGGCTTTCGTCAAATGTGCCTTCACTTCGTCTTTGCTATACTCGGCACATGTGATGTGGAGCATTGTCTCATGGCCACAGAAATTAAGAGCAGCATTGGCAATATTGACAGAGCTGGTTTCCTTGTCACCGCCTACACACATAATTAAATCATGAAAAATACCCAAATTTAGGCTTTCGGATGAGAATAAAAACAATAGAAGAGAGAGTGAAGAATTTGACACTTTGATAATGACAGTTGTTAGCAATTAGTCAAGGGACAAAATCCAACGCAAATAGCAACTGAAACAAAAGTATAGAGATACACTGGCTAGGAGCATCATAGTGACATAGTTAATGCCTTGCAGTTGGAACAAGTGATTATCAATAGGGAATCACCAGTAAATTCACATTACAACATACAATATTAACATAGAATAATGTCCTATAATAGTTCATTTAAGAGGCCTATCTCTTTTTCTTGTAGTAGAGTAGAATGAGATTGACTACAACATCAAGTAATGACAACAGCAGCTAGAGAACATACTGTACACTGATTCACTGAATCATGTCCACACTCTATCACCGGATTCAAAATCCTCTCAAATCCCAAATCTTACATTGGTATGTACATGTACATGTATTTCAATAAAAGGTCATTGAATTTCATCATTATCATAATTTAATTATTAACCCTTTAGTAACAAATATTTTTCTAGCTTTTACACCGTGCGTACATGTACATGTACCAGTATCATCATACCTGGGTCACCGGCTGCATGCCATGTAACGTCACAGAACAGCGGACCACCGGAGAACATGCGATCAAACCTCGCTATCAAGTTACTGGCCCCGGCTGGGGTACGGGGCGGAAAGAACTCGAGAGAGAAAAACTTATCGCCTCCATCAATCCGTGACTGAATCTTATCAATGAGGGAGGAGGAGGAGAAGAGAGGGGAATGAGACCTGGGCGTGTTCCCCTGACCGGAAGATGAGGAAGGAGAGGTAGGGACGCCACTGGATACGCTCCCGTTTGACCACACGTGGTAGAAAGGAGCTTCTGAGTGAGGAAGAGACGGGAGGGAGACTCTCTCTGACTCCATTGTTTGAGAAAATGAGCGAGACCCTTAGAGACCTTTAGAGAAACAAAAGGCTAAAGGAATGTCAGGCGAGATAAGGTGAGCTTGTGGTTCCCACGTGCTAAAGAATGCCACGCCCAAGAAAAATTATTCTCTGGGCGTGGTCAATTATTGCTCATTAGTTATTCATTAGCTTTAAATAAATAACAGTAGAAGCGCAAAAATAATAATTATAATTATATTTATAATTTGAGTATTAATCATTAATAAGATTAAAGTAATTCCTTCAAGGAAGTCTAATTTATTTTTGGTAAAGACAAGCATGTACAAAGCGAACCAGACAAGATGCTGAAACAAGCAACACAAGCCAAACCAAAGCTACACGTTGTATACATACAGTACAGAACGACCATGAGCCTACTAATTTATTTTTAATTTTTTAATCAATGACGTGATGCAAAAGTGACACAGACACCGGTGAGACTGCCTAGGGCTATTTGCTTAGTGCCTCGTGTTGGTTTATGTTTTAAAAGTTTATTTCTAAACAAGTCATAAGCTGCCAATGACCAGATTCACTACAATTCGACTTGGACCGCTATGAGTCAGCATTGGCAGTAAAAGTCGGCTCTTCTTGGAATGACGAAAATGACTGCTGCGCATCTTTGATTCAGTAAATGTGTGCACACAAACATAAAGCATACATGCTGCAGTATATAAGTACAAGGGACGCTAAACCATAGTAACATTTATTGACACCTGTGGCGACTTGGCATATGCGCTTCATTAAACTCTGTATACCAGTTTTTAATCATGCTTTCTAGACACAACAGAAAAACACGATACACGTGTTCGCTAGCCCACAGTGAATCCATTAACTCAATCATACAGCACTCTAAAAATAATAAATATTCTTACGACGTCTGTGGATTTCATTTAAGGCTCAGTTTATTTCTTTTCAGGTTTACATCATCAAATATATGATTTATGCAATGTAACTCGTCTAATTTTAGAATGATTATGTTGCATAGTAACACTGTTATTAGAATAAGACTGTGATTAGGTCATACTAGAGTTCAAGTATGTTTATTTATTCCATTGATATGCAGCTATGACCAATTGTAATGTTAATTAACAATGCTATTCTGACTCAGAGTGACTCGATCAGAGAGAAACAAATAACAAATACACAACTGCATGCATAGGCTAAATTCCACTCTTCTTTCTCTCAAAGCATTCACTTTCTTTGCATGCAAATTCAATTTCATCTCTCTAGCACAAAACCTTATAGCCAGCCCTGTGGTAACTGGGTCCCTTCCTAGTAAAGGAAGGCTGCCAAACCAGTCAGACCAGCTGTGTCTGGATACATATAGTTACTATTGTGTATGCATGTGCATGTGTATGTACATATACATGGTACATAGTGTTTTTATGTACATTTATAGTGTGGGTATGAGTGTGTGTGTGTGTGTGTGGACGTGGGGGATGCATTAATGACTATAATTCATTAATACAAGTCATTGCACAAACTATAATTGTGAAAACCGATCCCATAACAACCAAACTAGCATTATATAACTCTTTATAATACTATGCGCCACTAGATATTGTTTATTATACAAATAAAAATAGTACTGGGAACATGGCATATAAGATTACATAAGGTTTGTGTACTAGCTCTTGGTGAAGGAAGTGAGTAAGAGAGAGGGAGAGACAGATACAGATACAGAAAGAGATAGAGAGAGAGGGAGAGGCAGAGAGAGACAGAGACAGAGAGTTAGAGACAGAGAGAGATAGAGACAGAGACAGAGACAGAGACAGAAACAGAGGCAGAGAAAGAGAGACAGAGAGAGACAGACAGACAGAGACAGAGACAGAGACAGCTAAGAGGCAGAGGCAGAGAGAGAGACAGAGAGAGACATCTGTCCGTCAGCTGATAAAACCATTAAACCATTAAACCATTAAATTGGTACATTTTTCACTATAGCTACGTTACCATAAGTCTCACACTTGTAATCTTCTCTTACACTTATTATATAGGCAGCATGTATAATTACACCGCTAATGCATTTTGGCATAACAATATACCCAATAAATGATCCTTGGCATTATTAGCAGTATAATTAATGCAATAATGGGCAGCTCTGTCCCATGGAAAGATTGACAATTACGCACACCAATGAGCCAATGACATAATAATAATAATAATAATAATAATACACATGTACATCACCATCATGGTATATTATACATGTACATTACCATCATGATATATGCACACACATCTAATGGTTTATGGTATATCCTACCAGTACCATAATGAGTACTAATTCCCATGTACATGTACATGTATTGCATTACACCATATATATCCTATTCCCTATCCTGATTGTGTCCCAGTAGCATAATGAGCTCATGCTACTTACTAATGTTTCATGGCTTATACCATCTAAGTAGAGCTATTAATGTTTCGTGTTAGGATATTATACGAATTCTCCCTAATAGACAGGCAGGCTGCCATCTCTTGTGTGGCATGTACAACAATATATAGACTATCATTTCATCTGACTAGTGTACGTGTGTAGATGAAATGTATGCTACTATAAAATGACGCCATATCGAATGTTCGAGTAAGTGAGTAAGATTATGAATATATACGTTTCACATGTGGCTTGTAATTTAGCTTAATAAGTAACTAAGGGGGCAATATATCTGGCAGGTAACAATACACCCTCATCAAGTTACCTGGTAACAGTGTTCCCATGGCTAAATCTCAATTGGATTAGTTGGACATCGGTGGGCACTGGGTGTTGGTGGGATATCACATCACGTATTAGTGGAAAGAATAGTGAGGATGAAAAAGAGGCGGTTGATTCAGTAAGTAGGTGCATGAAAGTAATAGAGAAAGAAGAGGGAGAGAGGGGGGAGAGAGAGAGAGAGAAGGGGGAGAGGGGAAGTCAAAGGCATAAAAGAGCAAGGAAGCATGTGTGATCAAATGATTTAAAGTTAAACAAAGAGAGAGAGAGAGGAATAAACAAAAATACATTACTACACACTCATCCCAATACTACAACCCCACTTACCACTTACCACTACAATAGTGGAGCCAGAAGCAATTCAATAATGATTCCCCTTTCAAGTGTCTATGATACACTAACATACAAAAACCCTCAAAGCATACCAGGCAGAAACTTGCATAGTGCTAGGTAATACTTGCAATGCACTGAACCACATCAGACTTTGAAAGTCTGCCCTGTGGTCAAAGGGAGCAGAGGATACACAAATAATTAAGACAACTGAGCATTAATCTAATTAAGAGGCTACAACTCCTTCTCACACAATACTGAGAAGCAAATGAGAGTATCGGTATTATTTGCATACTAGCAACCATTTGAATATCTATTATATGTTTACCAGCCAATATACATATTTTGAATTAATATGTATTATACTAACAGGTATTGTCTATAGCACAATTTCCTAGCTAAAAAATACTTCAAATAAATACTTTGACAGTTTGCTACCTTTCCTCGAAACTAGTCACTGCATGGCAGCTATGAAAAATAAGCTCAAACAGAAGCCTCTCATTTCATAAACTGGTGGTACAGTGTTGGAACTGTGACTGCCAATAATAATACACTGCCAGTGACTTGACAAAGTAATGTAAATTAATGCGAGGCATTAGAATTATTCATAATTATGGGTGTATGCACTATGTTGTGCAATGATGTATGCAGTGTAGTATAATTGTGTGTGTGCAACAGAGAAATATGAGAAGGAGATAGAGTAGAAATGTGGCGACGGTCTATTAGTTTCGTTTATTATTTTACAATTATTCCAAATACCCAGGGAAGCTAATATAAAACCACACACACACTCTGCCTGATATACATTTACTCCCCCTCTTCTTATTGTATTGAAACTATTCCCAGAACAATAAGACAGAAATCACCAGTGGGTTTCAACTTCCTTATTCTTCCCTTATAATGTGGCACACGAAGGCGGTCCTGTCTGGTATGCAGGGACATTTCCAGCTTCACACACTGTGTCAACAATGAATCACACACAAGGCTGTCATTAGGCTGTATAATCAGCAATTCCCCTAGGCCCATTAAGATTTTATTACAACTATAAAGAAAGAGAGAGAGGGGGAGGGAGGATAAAAGAAGGAGAGAGTTCGAGTAATAACAATCTTAAATTTAAAAGGATATTTTGTCTGCCTTCTCTGGCCTAAACTGACTCTTTACGACCCTCCACTATAACGATAATCACTCAAAGTTCTACAAATGATCAAATGACATATACTCCCTCATTAGGTCTACACACACCCACTATTGTCCATTTAGACCAAAATTTCCATTCAGTCACAGTCAGGAAATATGTCTCTGCACCTGGTCGAATTCCAATAGCAACAAAAGCCTAATTCACATACTCCCATTAAAGTGCCATAGATACACACGCATATTAATGCTCCTATTCATCGAGACCAATGACATAATGAATGCACCTGGCTGTGTGCATCCAATAAAGTGTTCACGGATTACAAAAATCCTGTACACACCTAATTATCCATACATGATTATGTCATGCAATTTCCACCAGCATCTAATAATAGCATTGAGTTTATGACAGTGAGCTCTAAGAGTAAATAAACCCTTAGCCTTTTAAACAGTTTTTACATTATCAGAATATCACTGGTATGGCTTCTGTTTTCCTAGCAACAAAATTTGAGACACCATTTCATCACCATAATAATAATAATAATAATAATAAGAAGAAGAAGAAACATACATTTATAACAACATTAGCATGTCATTCTTCAGTAGGAGATTTTAAGCACTCACTCTATCCCTCTCTCTCTCTCTGCAGCCAAACTAGTGACAAACCACATACTCTCTTTTACTCCATGAACAAATAACTGCTCAATGCTCCAGTCTAATTGGATTAGGAGGGTTTCGAGCTCATGCCCTTTCTGCCAAATTAATCAAAAGGAAATAAACCATATGCTACAAGTAATACTTTATTGCTTAAAGCTTGTGGCGTGTCTGATTAAAACTCATCAGAGACATCCAGTGTTTTGATTATGGTCATCTCAAATATCAAACTGAAAGTCGGCGTGTAAGTTTAGTATTTATCTATTGCCAGCGGGGACCCTTTGAAGTGACGGGTAGCTATAGTAACGAATGAGAGTTTGATATTAGAGGCCCCACTGTTTATGGTTTTATCTCAGCGTAAGCCTTCGCAATGTTTTTATAACATGTTTACTGCTTTCGAAGATGGTGACCCTATAAACCATGTTATCTCAGAGGAAAGCTTGAGCTGGTTTATAATGGCAAAATGTATTTTTTTTTTGTTATGAATTTTTTATAAAATGAGTAAGTAAAAACTATTTGTATTTGTGGGCATAGAATCACTGTAGTAGATAATTGGAGGACTACAGGATGGTCTAATGACTCCTCAGCTGCAGCTATTATGCTGCTTGAGAATATAGGCTGTAATGGGATGAAAAGGAACTTCCTTCCTTAGTGCAGCTATGCTTCATCCAATGCCGACAAATGAAGCAGGAGCTTTGATGTTATGCACACAAGAGGAAGAGCAATGCTATGGTAAGACAATATTTCTAGGTAGAGCAATACAGTTTGTCTTTGCATGTCCAGCAAGCGCATGTTGCAAACAATTATAATCTCCTTTTCATGATGTTGCCAGTCTGGCCAGTCCAGCCAGCCAGCATAAACAAACAACAATTTAGTCACATTCATGACTAAAGAGATACTTCCATTTATGTAGCTACTAAATTGGGTGAGAATGGTAACAGTAAATTCATTAGTTTGTCACACTTTCCTTACGCTGTTGTTATATTGCACCAATTCATTCTGTGTAGCCTTCAAAGTTTACACCATTAATTTAATAATTGATACCTATAAATGGCCCAGTTGTTATATTGTTTACCCCCAATGTCTTTCCTCCTTTCTCTCACGCTACCAAGCTGTTAGTTATGCACAAAGTTCAATTAGCTTCTGCAGAATTATGCTAATTAGCATGAGACGGCGCCCAATATGGACATGCGGAAATGAACGGACGAGAACGGAGTGAGGCTATAGTATAAAAATACTGCAAAAACTGTCTCATTTGCTGCATACCGCTCATTCCCTACAGCACAAAGACTCTATTTGTGAGCTGTTTCTCTTGCTGTTACCTTGATTCAATTAAAGAACAACATCATCAAACAAAGAGAGGACAATGACTGCTGCAGTTATGGAAGATTTCAGAGTAAGTCCTACAACAAAGACTCGGTTACTACTAATTTTAAAAGAGGAAGCGCGAATTATGCTAGTCCTTTGTAGCAAAGCTTGAAGAGAGTTGCCTCTTTTCGCCCGCGGCAGTTCTGGGTTACAGGAGCATTACTTGGCAATTATATACAGCAAATTCACACCTTGCATGAAAAGAATGGATCCCGGCTGTACTCCCGAGCTCCTTGGGCCATAATGAACGTGTTTATTCTACGAGTTTATGCAACAGTTGTTTTAGTGGTTGAGAGTCAAATAGCTGAGAAGTGGTAGTACAATTAAAACACAGTCCTTGAATACCATTAGAGCTGACACACCTTCAACTATTGGCTGCCAATAAACTTAAAAACACACAATTTACCATTTCTCTCTCTCTCTCTCCAGGTCACTTCAGACAAGCTAGAAGAATGGAAAGAAGTCCTACCCAGAGCTGGACCTAAATATCGTCTGGGAATGTATTTCGATACAATCCACGAGATACCTGAATTCGACGCTGTCATAGATCCAGAGGGTGGCTACCAGAGCACCTGGGAAACCGAGACAGACCTTCAAACTGACTGCGACGACTACGGCAGTTTCATATTTTCGAACATCGATGGAGACTCTGCCTCGGTCGTTTGCTTGGAAGAAGACGAAGCTGCTGATCTAATAGAGAGGTTTAACCTAAAGCACAGGAGTCCTGGTTCCACCTCTCCCCCGAGACAACAAGCCGTCGTCGGTGACATAACCCTTTCCTCTTTCGCCTCACCTTCCTCCAATAGACAGAGCCAGCCAGAGGTAACGTACGACAGGGTTGATGGCGACGATGAACACGTATATGAATCCATTGATGATTGTGTGGAGGAATACCAGCTGTTTCTCTACAATGAGGAAGGGTCTCCTCCTTTGAATAATACGCCCACACATGCTAGAATAACAACGAAAGTGAAACAGCATTCCGGGATCAAATCGAAGCGAAGCTCCTCTCTCCCAAATCCACAGACGGAGACGTTGGGATATTTCTCTAACAAGCATCACCAGAGCTCGCATCGCAAGTACTCGGATGTGTCAGATTATGCTAAACTAGCCAAGAAGCGCTCGGAACCAAATCCTCCACCACTTCCTCCCCCCAATCATCACCTGCCATCAAGCGAGTCCCATTACAGTCAGCTTTACAATCGTCTCTCCTCCGCTACCTTTCCTTCTCCCAGTAAAGAGCCAAAGCGTTCTTTGTCACAGCAACCGGTAGCGGTACTCAAGCACAAAGGAAAGGAATACATGTTACCACTCGGAGACAACAAACCGAGAAGACACTCTGCAAGCAGTGCGTCTCCCAAACATGGCAACGCACACATCCACCCATCCCCCTCCTCCTCATCTCATCTCAGTAACTTTTATACGACAGTCACAACGCCGACTCATCATGCGAAAACAGATCCAAAAGAGACTCTGTCTCCAGTCGGAGGAAAAAAGAAATCGAAACACTCTTCGTCAACAACGTACAGTAATCAGACCTCATGTGCATCCACTAACAGTCTATCGAAATCTCATGTAACTTTATACGGAGTTTTGTGAGAAATGACTCTCACTCTCTCCCTCCCTCTCACTAATCATTCATGAACATTTATTTGGCATTATTGTGTTATTATATATATTTTTGTTATTATACAAACAATAACAATAACAACATTGAGCTCTTTTTATCTCTTATTTATTATTATTACACATACACACACACACATACACTCTTCACTTTCATTTTATGTCTCCTCCATCTATCCTCAAACTTATTTATTATTTGTATCATTTAATCCACCCTCCCTCTCTCTCTCTCTCTTCTCTTTGCCACTTCTATTAGTCAGTTTGTAAATGTCAATAGCACCATTTTACACTAATATGACAACAATGAAAGTTAAACTGCAAATGACATCAGCACCCATAGCCATCCTACACTACTGCAACAACACCACAAAACTTGCCCTCGACACAAAAACGCATCCACCACCAACCGTCGCCATTCCTGCCAAGTTGGTCTGACATACAAGGGACACGCATGCATAAAGACGGACAAATTTGATAACAATGAAACATATGCACAGACAAATTGCTAATAATTTGCCCTTGTTGATGTCTATGGAGTATGTACAGCCAAGGCAAGACAAATGCGTTCAGCTATATACGCATAAAACTAAAACACTTTGCTATACATAATATCAGGGAAGGTTATGATTTCAACTAAGAAAACATGACCAGTCATTATACTGCAAAGGACAAACAAAAAACAGGAAAGGTTAATAATCACAGTGAGTTAGCAGTAACTCAATCAGAACAGAAAATCAAGCGTATATATACACACAATGTACATAACACACATAAGAAATTGGCTCATAACAAGGACACATAAGGCATTCTTGACATAATAATGTTGAATGTGTGTGTCTTTGACACAATACATCAATTATGTACACACGGATGAATGGATAGTGTAACTATAGACTATAATTTTAAATGTTACTATGTACACATATATGTACACCTCTCCCTCCTCCTCCTCCTCTCTCTCCTGCACCATAATAATAATAAATATTATTATTGTGTTCTAAGAGAGTTTTCACAACCGGGACAATTGTGGAGTGTCTCGTGACAATAGAGATCACAATCTATACAGAAACTGTGTCTACATGAGGGACAAACGTAGACCTAATGAGAATAGGGAAGGAGGGAGGAGAAAGAGAGAGAGGAGAGAGGGGAGGGAGAGAGAGGGAGGGAGAGAGAGAGAGAGAGAGAGGTGGGGGAGAGAGAGAGAGTGAGAGAGAGAGAGAATAAGGATTTCAATTAAGAATAAGAGAAAGGAAGACGAGAAAAATAAGAGTAGTAACACAAGGCGGATAGGAGAGATGATGAGGATTGAAGCACACACAATAGTGAGTACATATATAATTATACAGTAATCTGATACCAGGCAACGTAACCCAATTGATAAATCCAATTACACAATGTATACTGATTCACACAACATATCATTACCACACACACACGTATACACATACAATACGT